CACCACCACCACCACCACCACCACCACCACCACCACCACCACCACCAATAGTGCCTCGGGAATCTGCTTAACCATTTCCTCGAACCGCTTTGAGACTTTAGAAAACTTTATTGAATTGGATTAAATAGGCATTAATTTTCAGTTAATTTTCAGCCCCTCATGACAATCTATCCAATGAGTGGCCAAGAAGTTGTCAGCCAATAGGAATTCGGTTTTATTTTAAAATCAACTTATCGTGGGGTTATCTGTGCCTTGTTTTTTAACTTAGTTCAAGCACACACACACACACAGTGATGCTGGCAGAAGGTAAAAAGACATTTGGCTGTTCGAGGCAACTTTTTAGAATCGAACTGTACCTTGTTACAGGCAAAAAAATCTATCTTTACAAGTAAACACCTTGCCGTGCGCTGTCACTACCACCTCTGCAATTGTAGATCTTGTTCACACAATCACTTGTTACACCGCGTAACTCGATTGGAAAATACCGAAGCAAGTTATTTTGTGGATTCGTTTAAAACAATGGCCACTGAGAGCGCAACATTTTAAAGAATGTTCGAGAATGATACGCAAATTCGGGATGGCTGCAAGCAGGATGCGAAGATGACCAATCGCTGCTTGATTTGCAGACCATCTTGGGCTGCAGCAGATCGTCGAATTCGCACCTAGCCATGGAGCATCTTGCTGGATAGGGACCTTCACTGGTTGACCTGAAGTCAAGATGTTGTGAGGGGCTGTTTGTTAAGTTCCTGCTTGGTGATTGGTTGGATTACCGAGCTCTAGCTGGAGATATGAGTCATCAGGAAAAGCTGTTCCTTAAGAGTGTCAACTTACCCTGTGGTTGTTTAAATGATCGATTTGGCGGTAATTTGTAAAACCAGAGAGGTGCCGAATTGGTTGTGGAAATTCACGCCTCCGTGATTGGGTGGGTCAAGGTCACGACTGTCTAAACCAATGAAACTGACCCTTGCAATCTAGGATTAGGTGCCAAGGTTATTATATTCGCCGGTGGGAGATTTCGATTCGTTTTTTGAAGAGAAGAAGCCGATCGGTTTCAATGAACGTCCTTCAATGGACTCTGGTAGGACAACCGAGCGACCGATCTCCAAATCGACCAGGAAAAGACGACTTTCAACAAACATGGTTACCGACTTAATGGCGTCATGTATACGATCCATCATACCTGCTAATTCTAGTGATCATGTGGAATAGATGCGACTAATTCGTGTTCAGTTTGCTTTAGCGGAGAGAGGTAGAGGCAATGACCACTTCCCTATCTGTCTGATGTTTTCATGCACACGAGTTCATGAGCTGGTAGACGGACAAAGCGCGTGGAAATAATCGATAACCAATGTTAATCCATAAATGGACTTCGTTTGTGTCATTTTTGATGACAAAGAACACATACACAATTCTTTTCTGATAAATACTCAGTTTGTTTAAATGGCAGGCTGGAAACTAACAATCACGTTATCGATAAAGTTGCTAAAACATACCAGGAAAATTTTCGTTTGTTTTCTTAATAGTCAAGCGATTTTAGTCGTTGTAGCTACCTTCAATTAAAAAAAGATACAATACAGTAAAATCGCTTTTTTCTACCTCCGTTATACCAAAAATTGGTGAAATAGCAGATGCCCCTGTAGTTCTGCCAGTCAACTTTATTAAAACAGACAAGAATGGTTCTCGCAGCACCGTTGCAGCATGATTTGACAGAGGCTAGGGGAAAAAAGGTCAAAGATGGCGGAGTTGTTAACGATCAGGTGTCATTGGGGGGTTTTGCTTGAACCTGCAGTGACGTTCCAGGATCCTCGTCTCCAGCCCCCCTCAAGGTCGTGTAAAATTCTCAGCCAATGGGTGTGGTACACTTAGCAATTTCAGCCTTCTGTTCCGTATTTGTCCAACACCAAACTGATTTATGTAAAAATTTACAGAACCATCTAGAATATGCCCGAGAGTGCCGCAAAATGTGAAATCAGTGCCACTCAAATCAATTTTCGTGCTTCCTGACGTTCGTTAGGCGGTTTTTTCGCTTTCATTTTTCTATATTTTATGAATTGTTAAAATGGAATGATCAGGTGCCCATTGCCACGTAAGTTCAATCAAGATTCGTGAGTGCAACTTGCTAGAATGGTCAATCTACTAACAGAAATTGACGTCGTTGGGAATTTGACCAGACATTAAGTTGACCCCTAGATGATGACCTCAAATGGAGCATTGCTCAAGGCAAATTGCATTTAATTATTCCATCATTCACCGTTAATTGTATCCAAAAACATTTACTTGTCTTCAGCAATTGAATAGAACACTCTTAACGCCCCGTCATGGCACACTCTTTTAGGTGTTAACACAGCACCATTCAATCAACTTACCGAAACCCACGTTTACTCTTCAGGTCACTTAAGGGGATCCATGTTTTGTAATGTTAAACAAAATTATCAATAACAAAAATAGCGTACTACTGCTAGTAACTGAGGTGCGTAAATTGCGGAAAAGCTTGTGGCGAGCAGCAGGCGAGCACAGTTAGCAGTCGTGAGCGCACGCAGGGCGCAAGCGTGAGCGAAAACGATTCAATCGATTTTCGATAAAGCACCTCACATAACTACGTGCGTGCAGAGATCGATGCTTAGCGAAGCTGCATACACGCACTCGTTCTCCTGCACGCACACACACGCTCCGCTACTGCTTTAATAAATTGGTTGAGCTACGCGCCGTCTGCATCTTTTTTCGTCCTTCTTTCGGTCGGGGCCTCGTCAGCGTAAATCGCCGGCCCTGGTGTGGTTTCCAAAACAGCACCGGGGCCCACTACAAGCTCAATATTTTCTTCAACTCAAATCGGATTGGAGAACATACATGAAGTGGGATTTCACAAGCATGTTTGTGTGTATGTGTGTGTGTGTGTGTGAGCATCGTGTGTAAACGCGATTTTCAGACTGGGTTGTAATTGCCTGCGAACACGACGAACCACCAATCACGTGAAAAGATTTAGCTTGGCACAGTTGTTGTTCCACTCATTACGCAAGTGAAAACAACACTGAAATGCTGGCATGCTTGGTGTGTGTGTGTGTGGCTCGCACACGTGTCATTTGAAATGTCACCCGTTTACACCCAATTTAAGATGTATGTAAGTGTGTGTGTGTGTGCGTTTAGAGTGAAATTTTAAAATATCAAAACAGCACACGCCTTTTGTAGTCTCCAGTGTCGCGTCACAGAGGCCCCTCGTGATTCCGTGGATCTAATCAGTAACTGGTAGAACTAAGCCACCTCAAATCAAGCGAAAATCCTTCACCTTCTATGCGTCGTTGATCTATATGAGGTGGCTTCTGGCTTTCATTTAGTCGTACCCCTAGAAGCACCTTCTGTATCGACATTCGCAAACCAATTTTGCTCAAAAAGCCCACTGCATCGTTGCAAATCGAGCAAAACCAGATTAAAATTTACCTAAATTTTGACGTTAAGACACAAATCTATAAGGTGATACGTTGGGGGCGCCATCAAATCTTATTCCCGCGATAACTTCAGGAGTTTTCGCAGATGTGCTATCTTTGCGACAATTCGCTCGTGGACTTTTGCGGACTAGAGACAAAGGCACGTCCAGCTTCCGAAGTTGCAAACAAACCCTAGGGATTCAGGTTGCGGAAGATCTTTGCAAGAGCATATTGATATGAAAAGGTGGATGAGAATGATTTACGCATTTCATATTAGCCTTAAGATGAATGTTCTTGGTTAGATAAAGGGCTTTTTGCAGCGACAACACGATCCTCAATCGCCACACGTTGATCACTCGTTCCTTGGGGTCCAGTGCTATATATCCAAAGTGCAAATTCGTCACACCGGCTGCGTTGGTTTCGAAAAGAGATCACAAGTGGAGAGTTTTAAAAATTCCACCACGAACTCCTGTGAAGGAATCTTAGTCCTCGTCGAAGGTTGTCGACACACTGCTGGATTGGACCTCTATAGAACACTGCGTCAAGGACAGTAATCGGATCTAGTTAGCTACCAGTCCAAAATGCCCTGCCAGGGGAGTATTTTAGCTGCATGTTTTACACAACGCAACCACTCAAATACCGGTTGTGTGTGCGTGTGTGGTCGCGTCTGCTAGAGTATGGCCTTTCTCCTGACTTCCAATTTGCGTGTTTTTTTTTGAGACCGTTGCTGACTAACTTTGCTGTGGTAGGTAAAACTACACATACTTTACTCCCCCTTGCAAATGTGCAAGGTGCATGGCAGGGATCTTTTCACGCAGCCTACCACTCGCCGTCTCAAGTGGCGCACGCTGATCGACCAAGTAAACAGCCAATAAAAGACACGCCGGGGTTATTTACAGACCACGCACGACTCGCGCTGAACCTGGTAGAATTTTAGACTGGGGAAAAAAATTCATAACCCCCATACTAGCCACGCGGCACATCGCACTCTTTGTGCGAAGCAGCACAACGTCCCCATTCCACAAAAAAACGCGTGACTCCAAATGGATTTAACCGCCTCCGATTGCCAAGCATTTCTGTTTGAAAAAAAATAGTACCCGATGATAAATAACAGGACTTCAAGCACCAGCACACCAGCTGAAGCGACTTCAGTCCGGTAGTTCAGCGCTTAGATATTCAGGCCTGAAGCTACCAAAAAACGACATGACAAATCGTTTGTGGCACGCCCTGTGTGAAGTGTTATCAGCGTCGGAACGTAGCGATGGCTTGCAAGTCCGCTTGTCTACAAATTTTTGGCCAGGGCGGGCTCAGGCCTGAGATTATTTCCTATTGGCCAGGATCGAAACACTTTCAAGGCCAGTGATTTGAGTTCTGTTCACTGGCCCAAATATCGACGTTGGTTCATCGATTTTTTTACTCTGTTGTCCGTTCGTCACACTGACTGGAATAGATCTCGTTGCCAAGTAAGTGGCTGCGTCTACCCGGCAACGCTTTGGTTTCCCTTCTGCAGGTGCCAACAACCAATGAGATGGTGGTGTGTATGACTCAGCAGTGAGTTTTGTTTTAAACCCTGTAAATCGATGGCGCACGATGCAATCGACGCGCTGTTTCGCAGACCATTAAGGCCGGTCAAGTGTAGTAGTGTCGAAGAGTGCTTGTAGCAGGGATGACGCACCGCGTAAATGATACTACCAAACTTTTTGTCACAATCGAGTATTTTGCCCTGTGTGTGCGCATGACATGCCACCTACCTAGCAACGCTCGGGCACTCTGAATTCGCGCCAGCGGTTTTTTTAAAAGCGACACACACTGGGTACGCGAGAGAAAAGAAGTCCTAATTTGCCAGAGCAAATTAGCATTGAATTGACACACACTACCTCGCTGTATTTGCCTCCGGCACACTATCGCGGGAATATATTCTTTAACGCAGTAAACAAATATCGTGTCGAGCTTAGAAAATAAATAAAGCCATTTGCCTATAGGAGAAGCTAAGGTCCTGAAGAGACGATCGTTGTCATTGGTTGGGTGAGTTGAAGTCGGAGACATCACTGAATTTTCCGGCATCGTTAGCACTGATCAAGGGAAATGATCGCTCAAATATAATGAGACTGTGGCAGGTACGGAGATTTATTTACGTCAATGGAAAAAAGTGTCGTGTGGCTAGCAAACCAGAGACCGCGTAAAAAATCGATAAATAGACGTGTGATCCACTAACTCGTAGCCAATGGAAACGGCGTTTACGAACTGCTTGAATAGTGATCATCAAAACGCCTGGATAATCGATCGCAAACGTACCTGGATCTAGGTTACCGGATCATTTAAAAAATACACGAATCGTCAGACTTCAACACACACATATGAGCCTCGTAACCGTGCGAGTACAATTGCCGCCAGAGCGGTGGAAATCGCAATGCCCGCCGACACTTGTTCGGTCGGAGTGAGTGGCTAGGGCTTTAACGAGCTCGGATGTGCCTATGGGGCGCTTTTTGCCTGTCCAAAAACCACCCAGACCCACCGCAGGCACGCACGCAATCCCCTCTCCGCCCAAGAGGAGGAACACGTGAAAATTGGCGGAAAAGCCTTTTATTTCGCTTAATTACGGACAAGAAAAGCAAGCAAGGCAGTGGTGATTTATGACGTCATAAACACTCCATGACTGTGGAGAGACGTTAGCTGGGAAAAACGGTTTCTCTCGTTCGCAAGAGACACGACCGCCAAGCCAATGACTTCTTTTTTTGCACTGATGTGTAAAAACG